GGCCTTGCTGCTCTTTCATTTCCTCGTTCGCGCTCCCAAAGTGCTTCAGCAGTGATTTCGGTGCACCAACAAGAAGGGAATAAATCACACAGTTTGTGCCCGCCGAAGTTTTGCCCTCCGTGGTAGTGAAGCAAATCGTGCCCAGAGAATTTTAGTAGGGACTGTTTAGGAATAAAACACTGAAACAATCAAAAGTGAATTTTTAACTTGAACAAGGAAGTAGCTCCTGTATTAAACAGAGACATCTAAACACTGCTCTATTCAGGCCTGTAAATGGACAAAAAAGAAAAAAAAAATCTATCCAAAGATTTTCTGCAGGAAGTTAAATGGCAGAGAAGAAAAATAAAAAGGAAGAAAGACAATTGCAGCTTAGGAGGAGCTGTTGAAGAAGCGCTATTGGCATTCCTCAGCATTTGCTACTGCGAAAAGAAAAACAAAATCACTTTGTGCCTGCAGCTGAGTCTGCTCACGGCGGGCTGAGTCTGTATTCCAGGAACCATGCACTTTTCTGTGACAACAGAGGATCTAATACAGGAGCTCAAAAGTGGCAAAGCACTCTTTTTTTTTTTTTTTTAGTTCTCTTACCTTCGGAGGAGGCAATGTCATGGGGTGGGAGCCACCGGGGGGACAAGTGCTCTGTTCCACCTGGGTATCCAAGACGAATAGCTCAGGTGGTTTCCTTGGCAGATCCCAACCACAATCTTTCTCGTCTGTTTGATAACAGAGACCTCGGCGCAGTCCGGTATCCAAAGTGAGACTTTGACATTTGCCAAGTGAACATTCGCGACAGGTAGACATGGAGCTTTTCCTTCTGTTAGTAGCTCTGCTACCAGGTGAGTCACCTTGGAGGCATCTCCCCAGCCCCTCACACTAATGACCTCGGACGGAGAATGTGGCGCTCAGGGAAAATAACACTTATCGTATCCAAAAGAAACACCAAACTTTTGGGGGCAGATGTTACACCAGTGCCGTTCGCGGAGTGCCATTCCTCTCCTGACCGGCAGGAACTACGCTCTTCATGCCAGGAGAGGGTCTGGCTGTCTCTGCCTAATGAACCGCTTCTGTTCCTTTCTTTCTTTTCCCACAAAGATCCAGTTTCAGGAGTCTTATATGGATCCAGGTTTTTGACCGGTGAGGTTGGAGGATCAGTCACTCACCAGTGCTTCTACTCAATCATACCGGCCAATAGATTTGACCGAAAATACTGGTGTAAAATAGCAGAAAGCGGAGTGTGCCCCACCATCGTTTCTACCACCGGTTACATCTCAAGAGGCTACAAAGGCAGAGTGTCTCTGGAAGACGTCCCCCAGAACGGCACGTTCATAATGAAGATCACCCAGCTGAAGAAGAGTGACGCGGGCGCCTATCGATGCGGCATTGGCCCCACCAACACAAACTTATTCATCCCCCAGAACCTGACAGTTTTGGAAGGTATGATAGCTGCAAGGGGAGAGGGGAGGAGCTGTCCAATGGGCCGACAGCCGGCCCGCAGACCCTGGCCTCCCTCGGGGGTTGCAAAAGCACCTTGCCGTGTCCCATTGCACAGCTGGCAGGGAGCTGTCTGGAGCCACATGTTGGACTATCGGTTCGTGACATCTACAGTCTGAGCATGGCGGGTGCATCAGCTTTTTCTCCTATTTGCTCTTGACCAGTTATTTAAAATGATAGGGGTAGAAAAGTACACCCGTTTGACCTGTTCACAAACGTCAGGCTCACAGCCGCACGCCTGACGGTGCCCGCTGTGCTCTCTCCCAACAGCTGGCAGCGCGCTGAGGCCAGCGCAGCTCGTTCTGGGTGAGCTCCGAGGCTCCGTCACGGTCCGGTGCCCGCCCGGAGACGTCGAAAGAGTTACGAGGGACGAATCTTCATCAAACCTCAGGAGAGCTCTGGAGCTTTCAAAATCTTGATAAATGACTTAAAGAGGGAAGACTCAGGGCTGTACAGATGCGGGACAGGGATGCCAAGCGGGACGGACAGCCCCAGGACGGTGGACCTGCAGGTGACGGCAGGTAGGAGGGAGCGCTGGCGTGTCACAAGGCACTCGGGGGGCTTTCAGCACGGCCTGGCCAGGACCGTGGTGCTAACCCTGGCCCTTCTCCGACCCTGCAGCCTCCACCATCCGCAAGAGACCGAAATTCCTGAGCGGAGCAGTCGGAGGCTCGTTGTCTCTTCAGTGCCACTACGACCCGCAGAGGAACTACAAGAAGAAGTATTTGTGCCGGTGGAAGGAAGGCAGCTGCTCGCTGCTGGTGGATGCTGATGGGTTTGTGCACGGCTCGTATGAGGGGCGAATACAAATAGTCGGCAACGACCAGGAAAACGGGACTTACACCGTCGTGATGAGCAACCTGAGAGAGGACGATGCAGGATGGTACTGGTGCGGGGCCAAAAACGGGCACACAGAGCAAACATTTTCTCTGAAGTTACGCATCCAGAAGGGTAGGTAATGGGTCGGCTTGGAACACAATAAGTCCCTTTTCGTTTTTTAAAATCACTCCACCCCTGACCACTTCACAGGCACGGGGAGAATAAACTCTACTTTGTACTATGCATAAATGTAACAACATTATGGGAAACGTGCTTTACATTTTTCCTTACGAACACTTATTGGCAAGTAACCGAGGTGATGGTAAAGGTTTCCAAAGGCAAGGATATAAGCTAGACTTCCAGCAGAAATTTAGTTTGTTTGAATTGTATCATGGATTATTCATGATGCAAAGCCCTAGCGTATCACATCCTGATCCTCCTAAGTGCAGTACAGAGACACATGCCTTACTCCAAAGATAAGCTGAAAACTATCTTGCAGTTTTAGACCTGTGTATTTGTACGCAGCAGTTTCTGGGTAACTGACCTGACCAGTCTTCAAAGACAGAAATAGAGATGTTCAAGTACGAATGTTTTCCGAGTATTGATAGGTTTCATTAGTACTCCCAGATTGCTTTCTATAAAACTCAGAAAAAAATAGACATTTGGTTTTGGTCATATCATGCTGCATATTTTTTTATCAGGAGATGCAAAGTGAAATGCAAAAGCTTGGGAAATGTTATTGAGAAGACTATGGTTCTTTGGTGGCTCCAATATGTTTCCTCTGCAAAGATATGGATATTCAAGCCTTAAAATAATTTTCTTCATCAGAAACCTGCTCTTCACGAGGCCCAGAGACATCCACTCTTGTAGACCCCACTTCATCATCAGCTCCAGCTGCGTCCAGCACCCCCCCACAGAGAAGCGTCACCAGTCAGACGTACGTGGAGGGTGGATCCGGGGAGAACACAAGTGCCTTGGTGTCCGTTCCCTACTCCGTCACGTTTGAGACCTCCAGAAAGGAAATCTATCGTGGGAGGCAAGTTCATCACTATGTTTCTGTTAGAGGCACCGTGTAAGCTGGTGATTTGCAATGTCTGCCCAGTTTCCTTGGGCTCTGCATTGCTATGCACAGGCTGCAAACTGAAAACACTAACAGGAGATATTAGTAATTAGAAATGCAGAAGGCAAGGTTATCTCATGTTTGTGGATCTTTGAACTTCTCTCTAAATCCTCTGGTGTTGGTCACCGCTGTAGATCGGATGCTAGAGTCAATAGATGTGATTGTGTCTGTTGTCCTTTGGTTAGGATGGAGACAGGCTATTAGGAAACTTTAGGCTTGAGCAGTAACACTGGTGAATCAGTAGGTGCTGCATACTTTGCTGCACACATTTTCCAAGCCATTATTTCCAGTCAGTAGCCAGGGCAGTGTCTGGGTGCTCTGTGTTACATCAGGAGCTATCTTTGGAAAAGGTTAATCAAAAGGCTCTGAGCTATTTTGGCCAATAATTATTCCACAGCACTTCTCTACAAAAAGACGTGCCACTAACCCCAGCACAAGTTTTTTTTCCTGGCGATGTTAACGTCTGTGCTTCCTGTTACCAGGACGGCTGCGAGCAGCTTTGCACCCTTCACCCAGCTACGGTCGCCATCCAGCCCAGGCGAAGCGCTTTGCATAGCTGTGCAGACCCATCAGATATTGCAGTATCAGTCACATCTGCATGAAGAGAAACCACAAAGTTCACAAACCCAACTGAATATCGTGGCCCCTCTCCATGCCCCACAGAGCTCGCACCCGCTCCAGGCAGCCACCGCAGCAGGGGAAGCCCAGTGTTTCCATCCCCCTCCTTCCCACCCTATGTACCCACCACCCAGCCAAAAAGAGGAGGGGAGAACGTGTTTCCAAACAAAAATTACGATTTTCTACTAAGGGTCAGATTTCCTGCAGCTCCTGGCAAAGCTCGGTCTTTGCGTGGAGCTGCGGCAGCCTTTACACCGGCTCTGTAAGGAGATGGCACGTAGGCACCCTCCAACGCCGTGGAGTCATAAGTAGCTATAGAAATTACTTCCTCATAAGCCAAACTCCAGATCAAGCGATTTCATCTCTACTTGACTTTGTTGACTGTTCTCCTTTGATTCGGTCAGAGTTTATAACTCTTTGATACTCTGATGTAAAAAACACAGCCTCTATTAAGGAATTTCAGGCGCCAATACGTGAATCAAAAACTAATTTAATTCTGATGGTTCATCCTTCCAGCTCCTCAAGTGAATCACATCTGCTCTCAGTTGTGCTACCAGCTCTCCTTGGGCTGATTCTCATCACTGTCGCTATTCTTGTCCTTACCAAAATAAAGCTTCACAAGGAGGCAGGTAAGCTGGCCAGGCAACACCTACTGGGTTGTGGGTGTTTCTTTTTTGCGACTCCCTTTTCCATGAGCAAGAGTCTGACTCATTAAAAAAATTCTGTCTCGAGAAACAGGCGTCCATTTTGTGGTCGGTCGGGTGCAGCCTGCAAGTGCAACCGCAGACCCGGCGAGCAACGTCCTGCAGACTTTTTTTTGCCACACTTAAGCCAAAAACGAATGAAATAAACCGAAATTTTGAAGTCCTGCTAAAAGCAAAGCCGAGTTTTTCTCTGTAGAACAAACAGTTTTATTGCTCCACAAGTGCTCGGAAATCGAGCAGTATAAAGGGCACGAACCTGCACTGGGCGGCGGGTGCCGAGAGGCTTTCGTGGCGCCAAGGCCAGCCCCGGCCGCCGCAAACTCACCAACACCGCCGTTCGCTCCAAACCCAGCAAAGACGTGCCCAAATAATCCTGGCGGAACAACTCATTTTCAGTAACGTGCATGTATAAATCTTATTCTAAAACATATTGTGTCAGTAGAGATAAATTTAGGTTAAATTAACCTAAACTAACCTCATTAACCTTAAACCTAAGTTAGGCTTAAATAAAAAGGTTCAGTGAAGACAATGGTGAGTGAAAAATATCTTATTTATCCACAAGCTTCAAACTTGCGAACGACAGGCCTAACTGGATGTCTGTTATGGAGCGCTTGTAGACCTAACCAGGTGTTTGAGGAGGTTTTCCTTCCGTTACGTACACGTTTTTTGTTTTTAAGGAAGAGAAAGAAGCGCTATGGGGAACCTGGAGGCAACACCATTTCAGGCTGATTTGGACCCTATAAAAGAGCAAACAACGGAGAAAACCGGGAGTCCAGAAAAACTCGGAGAATGCAAGACAGACCCTGGCGAAAGCAGGTAGGTGTATTCTGGAACTGGTGCTGCAAACGTCCACTTCCCTTGGCAGAAGAGAATAGAAACAACATTTTAAGCAGAGGGTTTGTGGCTTAATAAGTAAAATAACTCCAATATCTAGGTTTGCAATCCAGAGATAGGATTGTCTTTATTCCCTACAGACAGATTGGGCTGTAGATTTCAAAAGACTTTGATTAAATCCTATGTGAGGTTTATAAATTTATTATAGGGTTGATTATAAGTTTTGCTTACGCATAGTAAACATGTTATCTCTCTTCCTGCTTGCTTGTTTCAATAATATTTGATTATGACCTCCTGCAGGATTACCTGTAAGCAATTCTTGTTCATCATGTTGTAATCATAACTTTCTTTTTTGTCCTGCATGTATAGAACAATCTACGCTATCCTTGGAAGATTCAGGCAGACCAACTTGTATGTAAGTGTCTATGTCTTCCAGCAAGGTAAAAAAAAGTAGAGGGTGTGTCTTGGACTACTAATGTGCTTCAGAAAGGAGCACTTGTAGAAAATATCTGAGTAAATATTTTAAAATATATCCAATTTGTGAAATTTCACATCAGTGAAAAGTACTCTCCTCCATTAAAAAAAAAAAGATAAAATAAGTGGAACAGTAATTTGGAAAAAACTGGTGATGGCATTTCATGTTCTCATTGCAATGCACTTAGATCTAAATAGCAGAGGTATAAGTAAGTGGTAATATTTTAAAGTCAGATAGATAGAGGTAAATAAGTGATTGTGACAATTTGCACCCTCTGGAACAAACTACTATGTCCATATATACCAACAAGTGTATGCTTGTGTTTATTTTCCCTGTCTGAAACATAAACTGGCTTGACCAGAAGCAGAAAGCAGATCTACGGATGTCACATTTTCCAAAGAGATTTAGAGAATAGATTGTAGACATCAAATACTCAGGTGCTTTCAAAAGTGGCTTTAAAGCTGGGGTCAAAAGAATTGAGATCTGGAATACATTCTGGAGAGTGCTATAACTTAATTAAACTATACAGGTTTTACTGCTGTTTAAGACCTTACTTTACAAAAAGAATTTTGTATGAAGGATTCTTGAGGTCCTAAATATAAAGAATGCAAAGAAAAAAAGTACAGCCCATCTAAAATCTCCAAAATAAGTAATCAATATTTTGCGAAAAACTTCTAAAAACAAGAATGCAAACCAAGAATTGTCAATGGTTGGACTCCAGAGGTCCTCTCCAACCTAAGTTTTTCTAGATTTCTCTTCTCAGGACCTTCTGAAATACCAGACCCCTTTAAAATACCAAGCTGGGCCTGAAAACAACACGCTTCCCAAGTTACTTCTAAAAACATTCTAGAGAGGCAATACCAGCTAAAAGCTTTTCTTCTGTTTTTGCAGGGACCCTATGGGGAAAAAAATGCTTTTCAACATGATTGATCAAGACTTGAGGGAATTAAGGCAGAACTCTGGTCCTTCCAAGCCACCACATACATAAGCTCAGAAGCTTCTTTATAAAAAGTTGAGCCACAGCTACAAACTGCAAAGCGCACAGCTCCACATTTTGCTTGCTGCCCCACTCGGAAGCCAAGAGCCCTGCGTTGCAGATCGATAACCGGCCCTAGCCAACGCTGCATCACCGCAGGCTGTCCAAAGAAGCTCTTTCTAAATTGTTTGTAAATGAGAAAATAAAATAATGCATCTATAATCAAGCTATGTCTTTATGTCACCCTTGCTGATGCTGACAGAGGTAGAGCATCCGTGATGGGAAGGTAAAGCTGGGGACGGGGCACGGCCAGAAGGAAGCAGCCCTGTGGCAGCTGTGCACTGGTTGCAGGTTTGCTCAGTGCTAGGCAAAAAAACCCTGAGGATTTTCTGGGTTTTGGAAATCCTCATCCGCTGGGTTTTGTTCTGCAAATGTAAACTGCCTCCGACTTCAGCATGACAGGAGACACGCTGGTGGGGCTGGTTTTTAGTACCTTCCTCTGCAGAGCTAACCAAATCAGATCATTTCAGCCCAGCAGCAGCCCAGACCCAAACAGTAGCTTCGGTTTGTGTGCTCAGATCCCATGCCATGCTGTACACTGTGCTTCGGCCCGAAAAAACAGCAAGCTTAGGGTTGTTTGTGCTCTGGAGATGCCAAAGTGCTCTGGAACCTGTGACTTGGCAGGAGGGTGCTTCCTTGTCTGTTAAAGCAGGTAAATATATTTGCGTAATTCCACCTTGTTTAGAGACAATGGATCAGTTTTACCAGGAACTTTAAGGGCGACGATGGTGGCATAGTTAAGGAGATTGTTAATCTTCCCTGGACTAACTTTTCACCCCCAAGATGCACAAGCGACTGTTGGTCCTGGTGGACTGATTTTTCTGCCACGGCTTCCCCTGCCCGCGACCAGGCCGCATCCCCCCCCCGAGCACCCTCCAGAAACCCATGCTTTTAAAAATACACTTTCCAATACAAATTGCAAAAGCAGGACCAGCAGAGCAGAGACACGAGCATGCTGAAATCGAAAAAGAAAGGTGCTGGTGAAAGCAGTAGGTACGAGAGAGGCAATCGCATCCGTGTTTGCTGTGGCTCCCTTCCTCACTGCAAACCTGTGCCTCCACGGCAAGAAAGCGGCTCGACACCCTCGGCGTGAGGACCGACTGCTTCCAGACAGGCAGAGCCGTAAAAACCTGCGCTCCAGCTCAGGGACTGCTCGTAAGCGGGGTAGGAGCCCCCAGAGCCGAGACCCTCCACGCGCCCATCCATTTTCACTGCAAACGGATGAGAAACGCTTCGTGCAACCCCTCAGTTAAAGCAAATCACTGCTTTTGCATCGCTAGCATGAGGCAAAGTGAGTTAATGATTCATCCTACATAGCACAAATACTTTTGTCTTCATTAATTTCACCATGCCGCTCAGCTCCGATACCTCCTGTGTTTTCCCGGGAATTTTTAATTCCCCTGCCCTTCGCGTGCCGACAGCAGGGCAGCGAAGAAACGGAGCTGAAGATGGCAGCAAAGCTCCTATTTGTAATTTTTCATCTTCTAGAGCTGACGATGCCGGCTGGCACGGGAGAGGGGCAGCCCTGGTCCCGCAGCCCTGGGGGGACGGAGAAGGGGCCCGACCTGACCGTCGCGCGTCGGGGTGTGAACAACACCCGCCGGCCCGCCAACAG